GATTACCAGTATTATAATAGTATGTTCTCTGTGATTTGTCATCATAAACAAAAATTCCAAAAAATTTAATTCCAACATCTTTTGAGATTTATTATAAAACCAAATATAATTTATCACTCTGTTTCTATAAGAAGGTATAATCCAGGTTTTCAAAGGTCCAGCTTACATATGAACACAACTCATGTAAAAATGGAGGAGTCCTTTCCATGTTTTGTCATATGTGAGGGTCTCCAAAGAGAAGTGCAGGGGAGCACCAGCAAGAATGTCTACTGAGGTGGTGAAAATAAGTGTTAAAATTCTATTTGTTAACTATCTTTTAATTTTTACTTGCATTTTTATGATGTTTGAAATATATTTGATTGTAGTACATACATTTTTAAAAGAAAATTTTTGGAAATGAATATTCAGGACTAATCTGAGGATGAACTGCGGTATGTGTTAAAAAAATGTTGGAGCATATTAGTAGAGAGTTTACCTAATGATATGACTTTAATTTTGGAACTTACAAAAGGGACGTTTTTAGAGCTTTGTGAAACCGTTCTCTGGCTTCAGAAAGAAAAGACTGTTTATAATATAAAGCCTAAAATATATTATCTCCTTTTCCAGATAAAAGCCTCCAGAATAGCGATCCTCAACTCAAGCTAAGGAGAACTTGGAGCTATTTAAAAATAAGACCTTGGGTTCTTATTCCCAGGGATTCTAAAGAGATCTGGACAGCAAGATTTCTGGATCTCAAGAACATGAATCCTATGGACCCAATCCCAGTACACTGGCCTCTACTAATTCAATGCCCACAGGAAGCACACGCCCCAGCCCTTGTTAGGAACAAGCTTTTTTCTAGGTATTGTCCAAAGCCTTGCAGAGGGCAAAACTGTCCCCAGTGAGAACCAGGGACAGAAGCTGTCCAAAGATGACACATTTTGAGAAATGCTATCTTTTAAACAATAATAACAATATGATAAAAAAGTAGAAAGCCAGTATGTATAAGCATGCATTAAATAAATTGAAATAAACAGGCTTCCCAAAAAGGAAATCTGATTAGCCATTACAAACTCCTGACAACTTAGCTAAGCCTCTAAGTCAAAGCTCTTCTTATGTAATTTCAACTTGAAGATTCTCTCCCTAGCTTCTATTTTAGATTATTTTTTAATTAACTTCACTGGCATTTTGCATCCTGCTATGAAAAGTCCGCCTAATAGTCTCAGAGGACTCTCCCAAGAGAAAAGAGTGCATTAAATCACACATTATCACATTAAAGTGTATTGCAGCACTCAGAGTCCAACAGCCTATGTCTTGGCAAAGGCACTGGAGTGGGGGATGGAGCATACTACAAAGACGGAAACAGGCTCAAGTGATTCACAATATCCAAAGCCTATTAACTTCAATCCACCTGACCCTACAAAAAAGTTGTATTGATTTTTCTACTTCAACCACATTTATCACAATGACATATAATATATTTTACAATTTGTGCTTCTACCCTGATTTCTTGCTACTGACTATGTGCGGGACCTTGGGTAAGTCACTTAAATTCTTTGAACAACTTTTTCCTCATCTAAAAAACGGTCAGATTAGACTAAATCATTTCTAAAGATCTCTCTGGGTACAAGTCACAAACTTATGAATGAAATAATTACAAGATTCTTTCAATTACATGGGATCTAATAACTATTGCACCAAATACCAACATTTTCAATGTTGCTTGATAAATAATGAATTCTAGAATGCTTACTCAGAAAAGACTGATGGTTGGAGGAACCACATACACAAGACCCATTCACACGTTTTATCTTGAGTTATTTATTTTATGTACTTGAAATGTAGAGAGAAAGAGACAGATAGATAGAAAAATATTTCTCATCCACTGGTTTACACCCAAATGCCCCAGCAGCCAAAGATGGTCCAAGTCAAAGCCAAGAGCCAGGAACTCAAATCCAGGTCTCGCACATGGGTGGAAGGATTTAACTACTTGAGCTGTCACCTGATGCCTTCCAAGGTGTGCATTAGCAAGAATCAGGAATCAGGTGTGGGTGCACGACTTGTACCCAGGGACTCCAATATGGGATGCAGGTATCCCAAAACAGTATCTGAAATCACGGTGTCAAATGCCTGCCCTCAAAAGTATTCAGTCGTAAAACAAAAATAGGCATGACAGAAGTTATTTTTCACCTATGAAGACCTTTATACAGGTACTGTGCATAAGAACATAAATCAATATTTCAGAAGGCATTCAGAGAGGGAAATAATTTTAAAATCACATTTACTTTTTATTTTAATAACAGAGGTCACAAATCAGCTGCTCAGAGACTACATCTAGCCTGCAGGTGTGGTTGTTTTGTGTGGCCTGGGCAGAAACTGTATTTAACTGCCAACTTTAAAAAGTGGGGAAGTAAGACACAAAGATCCAGATTTCCAGGATCTGTTGAAATACTGGAAGGTATTAAGCCACATGGCAACAATTAGTTATAACTGGGCCTTGCCCTCCTGGCCTTGTGCTCTTCAGGCTCCTGAAATCCCTAGTGTCTGACACCCATCTTGGTTCCCTCTCACAGTTAGCAGTATGTGAGCTTATGTCCCTACTCTGGAACAATTTTTAAAATACACATAAAAGATTCTTTATGCTGTTTAATGCTTCAAAGCAGTAGTAAAACTTGCAGAATCACAACAAGAAAGTAGAAGTTTCAAGAAAGCAGAGCTATGTTCTCAACAAGGAAAGCCTTCCTTACTCTTAATACATTTGAATGTAATGGATGACACTGTGTAGGTTTAAACCAACCTAGGCTGCAGTCCTTTATTTGATGAGAAGTTCAGACTAGAGAATCCCTAAAAGTACTTCCAATTCCAAGGTTTCATGCCTTTGGTTAACAGCATGGATAATTCATTACCAAATAGTAATGTTACCCACAGGTTACACATACATGTCTGTACCTACATATTGTGCACATAAATGTATAACTTTACAGTAAAGACACAATTTTCATGAAATCATGTTTTCTGTTAACTTTCACAAAACACTCAGAATTTTAAAATTAAGATTCAATTAACTAAGCAGCCATGTCCTACAAGAGAACTGCTAAACTATTATTTGAAAGGAATGAGGAAGAATCCAAGGACAGAAGGAAGTGGGTTAAGGACCTTGAGTGAGGGCTTAGGAGTACAGTGGCTTTTAGACAAGCCTTCTTGACAGATGTCTTTACCAATGAAACCAACCTAAAGACTGAATCTTGAAAGTTTGCCTATTCACTCCCTCCAAATTTTTTTCTTTAATATGCCTTATGAAATCTACCTGTCTGAAATACAATACTTTTAACAAGACACTGAGAATTTTCTTTTTAAAGAATCAACTCCATATTACATTTATAATTGAGTCCCTACTTAAAGAACTTTTTGTGCCAAAGTTAAACTAATAAGAAAGCAACATATGTCATTGAAGTGATGGCTATTTTAGGTAAAATATAATCCAAGTGTTCCCACACTGAAACTGTATGTGCTGTATGCAGCAAGCATTCTACTTTAGGCCATCCTGGGCAAGCTGCCTCATAAAGTCAGATCATGTGACATCACACAGCTTTCCTATAGTACAGGTGCAATAAGTACCACTGCAGGCTTTTCCAGCTGATTTTAAAAATGCATTCTACTAACATTGGATATTGTAGGTACTAACCATTTCCAAGTCAAACTGTTTTTCTTGGATGGTTGATGTTGGTTTTTGACATATGCTTTGTTTAACAGTAGTGATTAATAGCTCAAATGTGAGCATAAACAGCCCATCAATGAGTCGATATGACTACTGAGGGCATGTCTAATGACAGGAAAATGATTGTGTTGACAATACAATGTGGAGAACACAGGCTGCTTCTGGGAAAACATATGTTTATTATCCTAGTTCCCTGATTTTTCTGCAGCTCATCGTTTTTAATTTTCTCTGTTTAGAAAAAATGAGTCACTCTGTCCATGCAAAATGATAAATGTAATTCAATCTAACAGCCCCGGATGCCAGAACATTCTAATTTAACCATGGCTGGTTTCTGCTTTTACCTACTGTGTGGCGTGAACATTAACATCTTCTTTTCCACTTTTTGCTGCTAAAAAAAAAAAAAAAAAAACAAACTCAAACTCATTACATTATCATTCTCCTGGGCTAAGGGAGGGGGAAGCAGGGTGCTTCCAGATTTGCTTGAAATCAAGAAGTTTTTGATCCCTGATAGAGTACTTAGTTCCTTCCAGTGTCAGAACGCTTTAAATCAGAATTGTCCTTAGAGGAAAAGGTGAGAGGAGTCTAAGACCTTTGCTCTCTATCATCAATGAAACCCTGGAGTATACTACCTACAGCAGAAGAGAAGATACGGGTCTGATTTGTATATAAACTTATGCGTTTCCTACAAACAGCAGTATATTTTTTATAGGCTGTACATATTTACACTTTGTAAAAACACACGGGAGCTAATTCATTCTTGAAAAGCATCTTTTAAAGCACGTTTATTTCAAAACAAAACAGTTACTAAAAACATATGCATGAGCCATTCCCAAGTCACAGAACTCCAGATCGCCAGCCAGGGTGCAGAGCAGCCCGGGAGGAAAAGCTGAGAGGGAGCCCGCATGTTTGCTGAGAGAGCAGCGGGGGTCCTGGATTCCAGGACACAAGAACCAGAGAGGCCTGGAGTAGTAGGGCTTCAGAACCCACACTGTTGAGCCATAGGCCCAGAAATGCATACGCTTAACTCAGAAGCAAGCCTGTCACCCTGCCCCTCCGCCACCAAAGGAAGAGGAGTGGAGGGACCAGCCGATCCGCCCTCCTATCCGGTTGTTGATCTAGGGCAGGAATCCTGACGAACTTGCTGGAGGAACGCGAACTGTGCAAAAGTTCACAACCACACGGTGGGAACCCGGCCTCGCGGCGCACGAGCCACCCCCTCCCACAGTACCCGTGCGAGCAAACTTTACGAACGCAGCCACGACACACTCGCTTGCCCCTCTCGAGCGCACGCTCGCTCACTCACCGTGGGCCGGGGAGCCCTGCCGGCCGCCGCCCGCCTCGGCCGAGCGCTGCGGCCCCGCGGGCCCGGGAGCCAGAGCTTCGCCCGCGCCGGACATGGGCCGCTGCGCCGAGCCCGCGCCGCCGCCGCCGCCTAGCTCGCCGCCCCGCGGGGCGCACCGGGGAAGGCTCGGGACGTGTCGGGCGCAAGGACCTGACTGGTTCTGGCGGAAAAGAAAAAAAAGAAAAAAAAAAAAAAGCCCTGTTTTCAGAGAAGAGCACGCCACCCCTGCGGGACTTCCCTCCCCCTGCGCGGCCCTCCCTCAAACTCCACCCCGGGGAAGTTTTGATTTGAAAGCGGCGAGGAAAACTGTGACAGAGCAAGTTGACAGCGGCGCGCTCCCGGGGGGCTCGCAGTGGGCAGCGAAGGGGGACAGGGCCGAGGAAGCACGGGGACGGGACCCGAACCCCTTCTCCTCCAGGCCCGGGGCCACCACCTACCTCAGCATCCCCCCGCCCCCACGCCCCGGTCGCTCAAAGCCCCCTTCCTCCTCCTCTTCCGTCCGGCAAAGTTAGCGTGGCCGCATCGCGCCCCGTGGCCTGAGGGCTGCGGCAGCCGCCCCTGCGCGTCCCTCCCCGCCTCGCTGCGGCTCTGCCCAGACGTCGCGGTGGCGGCAACGGCGGCCGCGGCGGCTCCGACTGCGCGCACCCCGCCCCTTCTTGCCAGCCAGCTCGCTCCGGACCGGTCCCCTCGGAGGAGGACTCTTCCTCCTCTGCCTCAGTGCCCGCCGCTCCACGTCTGCGGCCCCGAAACACTTGTTCTTGTGTGGCTTCTTGCCATCGCGTCCGGGTCGCAGAGGCCTCGAACCCTTGGCGGGCGGCCACGAGGCTGGCTGCTGCGCTAGCCCGCGCCCCGCGCTGTCTGGGTCAGGAGGCCAAAGACGGACCCAGCGCTCGCCCGCGGGCTCCCCACCCGGGCTCTGGAACCAGAGGGAGTGGGCCGGGCTGGTCTCAGGCTGCCCAGACGAACCACCCTGAACCCTAGCCCTGCCCAGAAGCTCACTGCATCCCGACTCCTCATTCTCATCCTGACCCCGGACACCTGAAGGGAAGTGGAAACCTTTCAGATGGACAAGGACAAAGGAAAAGAAACTACATGTAATTTTCCTGGTGGAATAGTGTGCATTTGAAACCTTGACCTCAGCCCCCCGCCACTCCCGACACACACACACACACACACACACACACACACACACACACACGTGCTGCAGGTTGAGCGTTTTATCTCTGTTTTTCTCTTCTTGGTCTGTTTTCGCCCAACAGGTAGGTCCCTGATCAGGTAAAACCAGTTGCAGTTGCAGAATCCGCTGGAGAGATCCAGACAGGCAGAGTTGACACCCTTGGGGATGAAGGTTTTGGCGCCTCTCCCAGTCTGGCCTGTGGCAGGCTCCCTGCCTCACTGGACCAAGGCCCTCGGTGGGGGAGATAAAGTTGTGGTTGGAAGTGAAAAACTGATCAACTCTCAGCGTGTAAATGAGACGTTCTGATTGCAGCTTAATCCTGAGAGCCCAGAAAGTAAAGTAATTTGCTGATAAAAGAATACTTTAGTCAGGTATTCAGATATTTCCATTTTATTTCCTTGTCAGAAAATGCAGAATTCGTTTACAGAAAGCTAGTGCAAACTCATTTTTGGACACTCTAGGACAAGAGAGGAATCACAGTAATTCTCTTAACATTGAACGAAAGTATACTGGATTCACCCTTTTTCTAGATGCAGCATTAATATCCACGGAATTTCATTTCTTCACCAAGCCCATTGGAATCGAATCCAATTGATTGAAAACTTGCATTTCCTAAGAGTCAGTGCACTCAAATTTGATTTTTATTATTCAGGAAAAAAAAACCATCCTTGGAAGAGTCTGATGATGATGATTCATCTCACACTCCCTGAAGGACAAATGACATTTTGTCCAATGATGTATAACAAACAAATGCGTGTTTATTTTGTTGACAGTTTCAGAAATGCCACTTATGAAAGCATGGTAACTCTCTTGAAAACTTGTCTAGGGGCCCAAGTTATTTGAAATCTGCTTGACAGGAGCAGATCAGTTCTGAGAATGACAGTATCAGTTCTGAGAACAAGCATTTAGGAAGCTTCTCTATGTTTTACAGCAGAAAGCAGCTGATCCGGAAAAGTCTGTCCTTTCTTGTTGTTATGTTTCCTTGTCCCATTTTGTTAATTCTCTCACAAGGATGGTAAGATCCAGAATTAGCAAACAAGTTCCAGTACTCTAGTAGAAAGTCATAGTCAGTAGTAAATATTTGTTAATTTAATTTCACACAGTGCTTAATGTTTCAAATATAGTGAGTAATTCAATAAATATTTCTTTAATTAAATGTAAACATCTAATGGAGAAGAGATAAAATTCAAATAAAACTGTTAGGAACAAATGAGAGGCTGAGTTGTAGAATCACTGAGATGGTCAGATCTTTGCTCTTGGGTGACTTAGGGCAAGTTAGTCAACCTTTCTGAGGTTTAGGTTGTCTCATCAAGTGAAAATCAGAAAAGAAAAATCTTCACAGAGTTTCTTGGTGAGAATCAAATAAGGTAATTCTCCTATAGAATTTGGAAGAGAATAGGAAATGGGGAAGTTGCTCAAAAATAGTAACTGTTGGGGCCAGCGTTGCCATCTTCTGCTGCTTTCCCAGGCCATCAGCAGACATTTGGTTGGGAAGTGGAGCAGCCAGGACATGAACCAGTGCCCATATGAGATGCTGGCACTTAAGGCAGTGGCTTAACCCACTACACCATGCCAGCCCCAAGAGGAATAATTTCTAATGTGCACAGTAGGGGTAACTTTGATTGATAATAATTGTGTAAATTTCAAAATAGCTAGTAAAGGCCGGCGCCGTGGCTCACTAGGCTAATCCTCAGCCTTGCGGTGCCGGCACTCCGGGTTCTAGTCCCGGTCTGGGCACCAGATTCTGTCCCGGTTGCCCCTCTTCCAGGCCAGCTCTCTGCTGTGGCCCGGGAGTGCAGTGGAGGATGGCCCAAGTCCTTGGGCCCTGCACCCCATGGGAGACCAGGATAAGTACCTGGCTCCTGCCATCGGATCAGCGCGGTGCGCCGGCAGCAGAGCGCCGGCCGCAGCGGCCATTAGAGGGTGAACCAACGGCAAAGGAAGACCTTTCTCTCTGTCTCTCTCTCTCACTGTCCACTCTGCCTGTCAAAAAAAAAAAATAGCTAGTAAAGAGGATTTTGAATGTTCTCAACTCAAAGAAGTAATAAATGTTTGAGGTGATGATTATTCCAGTTACCCAGATCTGATTATCACACATTGTATAGATGCACTGAAATATTTCAGAGTATCCTGTAAATATGAGTAATTATTATATGCTAATTAAAAATAAAAATATTTTTAAATATTAACTATTATTACTGTTATATAGCAGTAACATATGGCAAAATGACTGTATCACAAGGGCCACATCAAAATACTAGATACCATGATGTGCACTGTGAACAAATAATCTGTAGAGCTCAGGGCTGTCAGACCTCAAGGGCATCTTAATTCTTTGGATAAACTGAGGTCTTCTAGCTGCAGGGTCCTTGACTTGGTGTTAATGCTGTAAATTTAGTGTCTGTGATGCCAATAGTTATAGTGTGAGCTCTTGCATGTTCCCCTAACTTAATTTCTTCCAACCCTTCTCTATTCACTTACTCTAACTAATCAATTAGCTTGGCTCCTGATGAATATTACCCCAGGGACTTCATCCTCTTGCTCTTCCACTGAGTGTCAGGGACTAAATACTTGTGTCCCCCAAAATTCATATATTGATATCCTAACCCCTAACGTGATGGTATCAGCAGATAATTAGGTCATAAGAGTGGCGCACTCATGAGTGGAATTAGTGCCTTTATAAAAAAAAAAAAAAAAAAAAAAAAAAAAAGCAGGCGTAGGGTCAGCGCTGTGGCATAGTAGGCTAAGCCTCTGCCTGTGGTGCCAGGATCCCATAAGGGTGCCAGTTCGTGTTCCGGCTGCTTCTCTTCCAATCCAGCTCTCTGTTTATGGCCTGGGAAAACAGTAGAAGGTGGCCCAAGTCTTTGGGCCCCTGCAACCACATGAGAGACCCAGAGGAGGTTCCTGGCTCCTGGCTTTGGATTGGCCCAGTTCTGGCCATTACAGCCATTTGGGGAGTGAGCCAGCAGATGGAAAACCTCTTTCTCCGTCTCTCCCTCTATCTAACTCTGCCTCACAAATAAATAAAATCTTAAAAAAAAAAAAAAAAAAGAAAAACACAGGAGGGAGCATAGTTTTCCTCACTCTGCTCTCTGCATGTGAGAATCTAATCACCTCCAAAAGGTCTCACTCTGGTGTCATCTGCTTACACATAAACTTTCAGGGATCACAAGCATTCAGACACTGCAGGGCAGAGTGGGTGCTATAGCACCCAGATTGCTGTTTATAGAAGTCACTCTGGTGTACTACGAGAAATAACTTGCAGGAATTGAGATTGCAGCTAGGAAGCCCAATGAGAAAATCAGAGACCATCCTGACAATGGCTATGACAATGGCAATGGAACCAAATACACAGGATGAGGGAGCTAGAAGAATCAAAGGCAACTTCCAGGTTTCTGTATGAGAAGCGGGCTTGGGGGAAATCTGCCGAGTCAATCATGCTAATAATATAGTAATTATGAGACCACTAATTGGAACTTTCTAGAAGGCTGCTGGATGTATGGTTTGAATACATTTATACAGATGGTACTTTACTAGCTAGAAGGTTGTAACCAAGGTGAGTGTGTAGAGTAACAACAGAGGGCCTAAGGAACAGCTATGCTCTGAAACTCAATACAAATGTGTCTTTACTGGACCCTCTCCCTTGCTTCCCTCTTCTCAGTGTCATAATACTCTTATTTGATGGCTTGGAGCATCATCATTATTTAGATACTGCTACCGTCAGTGCCCTATCTGCTATCCCAAATACCCCTGGGATTATTATTAAACAAGACTTTGTCATGTTTCACTCTATGGTAATTTGTATGGATAAAACCTACCACGAGGTCTCATCTTCCACTGGATCTGAATGCCTTAACCCTGTGTCTTTGAAATCCCAGTGTGCTTCACAACCATTCCTGTCTAGTGTGGCACACACTAATGATGGCTGACCTACACTCAACTGTGAAAGAGGTCTGCCTTGATGGAAACAAAAAACTGAGAGACTGAATAAACCATCTTTATTGGCTGTTTAATTTCATTCATTCATTAAAATTCATCACTGTGGTTGTACACCTACTATTTACTACCAGGCCACATGTTAGGCTCTGAAAATAATTGACTTGATTTCTTGAAAAGCAGATAAACATGTTTTTTGCTTGAATGGAGGCTTATCTGCCTAGGTAAATTCAAAGTTAATATCCTTATATAGATCTCTAAACCAGAGGTCTACAAATAGAGTGTATAGTTGTGAGTGCACCCAGGGAGTGCACAAAACAATTATATGGGATGTGAGCAGAAAGTATTAGAATAAACACTTATATTTGTTTTTATGTTACCATTTTTATATTTTGAGTATATTTTGAAGGGTATATAATAAAAGCACCTTCATGTAATTTTGTAAGTAAACATTAGGTGTT